CAATTCAACAATTTTTTAAAAAACTCTCTGAGAACTTCTTCAAAGCCTCAGAGTCGCACCCAAACCATTTAATTCGTGAGGCAGCTTCTTATGCAGCCCCACCCCCCTTCTCGCTATCGTGTCCGCAGGCCGAGAAACTCTCTCTCGGACCCGCCTAATAAACTTTCAAACGACCTGAACTGTCTCCTGGCAGCTCAGGCCAACTCTAATTAAATAAAATTATTGTAATAACTAACATTAATTTGCACTCCCTCGGCGGCACTTAGCCGCCTGCGCCCTCTTTTCCCAAAAGAGGGTCGCTCATGATAAGGCACAATAGAGCTTAATCAGCCGGCTGCCTGTCCCCAAAGGCGGTTTTTAGGGGGTATCACTTAGGGTCCCCGGTAGGACAGTGAGTCCCCCATAACCACGATAGACCGGCTATCGTGGTATGCGTAATGCATTTTCCGCCTCCCTACGTATAGGGTAGCCCTTTAATTGCTTCGGGCGCAAAAAAAAAAAAAAAAACTACGAATCACTTTGATCTTTGATTATATACCTGTCTTTGATACTGTTGGAACTAAAATAATAAAAAAATAATTTCCATATAATGGCTTATATAGTGTATAGAAATCGGAGGCTAATATGTGGAAATTGTTTTATTCTTTTAGTAAATTGAAGTCGGTTTTACATTTTCACCCTATTGAGTATATTATAATATGTATATGTTATAATTGAAAAATATGTATTATATAAAATATATATCATTTGATAAACTTTTGTTCTGTTTTATAATGTAAACATAATTCATCAAACTAACAATTTCATTAGTGTCGGCGGGGATTAGTGTTGCCAGGTCTAGCAAGTAAAATTTCGGGACGGAAGGTAAAAATAATCGGGGATTTGGTTTTCATATCCGGACAACTACAATGACTACAAAATATAGGTTTCTTTGTAGCCTTTTTGTGCTTTATTGAGAGCCGTGGTAGCTCAGGTGATCAACGCTCACTGTAAATATCACAGTATGTGAGTAATGCGAGAAATTGTGACTATAACTTTACTTTACTTTTGTGCTTTATTATTATTATTCGGGTCTGATCTCATAAACGATTAACTTTTCATCCAAACATCGTAAAAACTGAACTTTTTTTCATTTTAGGTAAATTAAAACATTTCAAATCACTCATTTTAATATAATTCTGTTTAAAACTTTTGTGGTTTTTTTTTCGACTGGTGAGACAATGTCGTAGTAAAAATATTTTGTGGTAGTAGCTAACAGATGTAATCATTTATGCTGTCAAAATTATGGATTAAAGTATAGAATAAGAAGGTTAGTGAAAATCGGGACATTTGGCGTCCCGATCAATGATAAATCGGGACGTGTCACTAGACCTTTGAAAATCGGGACGTCCCGCGCAAATCGGGACACCTGGCAACACTAGCGGGGATCGAGCCCGGATTGTTCGCGTTTACGACGAGCACTACGCCATTGAGCTACTCAGCTCAAGCACGGCTCATATGTTTTATATCTGGGGGCACGGTAGTGACCCCGCCATGTAGACCAAAACAGCGGCACGGTCGTATCATCATTGCGAGACTTGGTTATTTTACAAGTTATGTTTTTGATGGCATGTCTTTGTTTAATCATAACGTTATCTCCACACTAGGAATTTTTCCTAAGTACATACATCGTTGGGGCAGTTTAAATACATTAATTTCACAAGCACAAACATCCAGACCTGGAACAATTATTTGTAGGTAATACAAATTTTTGTTCCATGTGGGATTCGAACCTGCGGCGCTCAGCGCTACAACTCATTACCAAGTCACTCCGCCACGGAGCCAAAGGTGAAAGCCAACGATTTTGTATTTTTACTTGATCCTCATTTCTAAATAAAATATGTATGAAATGAAAATTTGCCACCATTACATCATTTAATATTTAAATATTACAATCATAAACATATTTCAAAATTACTTACTACCAAAAATATCGCTTATAAAAGTGAATCATTTAAAATGCTCGATGGTGCTATAGGTATCTAGTTATAGTATTGTGTAGTATAGCCCTATCGGTGTATCAACGCGATCGCGCGGTGTCGGTGAGAAAAAGTAATACATCCTGTCGTTGGGATTACCCGGAGCGTACTGAAACTGAATCGAACTGCGTCTGCGCATGATGTTTTATAGTATTTTTAAAATAATTATATAAAATAATTGACAAAATAAAACGAGCTAAAAAATTTTTTGGATATTTAACATTACATGTATTTTGATAAAATAATTAAAATAGATATGTTTATAAGCAAATACATGGAAAAAATTACATTGAAGTAGACAGTTTTGGTGATTTTATAATATTATTTTATAATATAAAATCGAAATATTATCGTAATTTAGGTTTTGCTATACCCTAAAAGACTATATATTTCATTATAATAACGCTTAAAATAAAGTATTTTAGCTTATAATAATGGTTGTATTCAACCTGAAAGATAACTCTGATGCATATTTTCGTAAAACACAGTGAAGGGATTGTCTTCGCCCTAAAAAACCGTCATTAAAAACTATTATTTTGCACTGCTATGTACTAAATAAATACTTCATCTTTCTAAAGCCCTAATTTTCAGCAAATAATCTCCTCACGTCGTTACGATATCGCCTTTGGAAAAATCATAAAACATGTAGTTTTCGACGCGAAACGCATATGCCCTCTTAAAGGTAACTCTAAAAGGCTTCTCGTCAGGTATACCTCAAAACTAAGTTGTACAACCAGCGCGTGTTGCCAGTGATGACCTACGGAACCGAAACGTGGTCCTTCACTGCTGGCCGTATGAGGGCGCTCAAAGTCGCTCAGCGAGTTATGGAGAGGGCTATGCTGGGAGTTTTTCTGCGTGATAAACTTAGAAATGAGGATATTTGCGGTAGATCCAGAGTGACCGACATAGCCCAACGGTTGGGCTGTAAAAAGTAAGCTGAAGTGGCAATGGGCCGGCCATAAAGCTCGAAAAACCGACAACCGTTGGGGAAGAAAGGTTCTCGAGTGGCAGCCCCGTACCGATAGGCGAAGTTTAGGGCGACCCTCCACTAGATGGAGTGACGACCTAGTAAGACATGCAGGACGTCGATGGATGTAGGTGGCTCAGGACCGTGCTTTGGTGCATACCTTGAGGGAGACCTATGTTCAGCAGTGGACTTGTGAAGGGCTGTAACGATGATGATGATGATAATGAAAGGTAACTTAAAATCTACTGGTCAGATCTTGGTCATACCATTTATATGGGACCACTCGAGAAGCACAGGCTTTGAGGAAAAAAAAAGAATCATCAAAATCGTTTCAACCAGAGAAAAGTTAGGTAACACAAATAAAAACATATTGTTGAATTGAATACCTCCTCTTTTTTGAAGTCGGTAAAAAAGTAAAGTAAATAAGGTATGGGTAATAAAGTAATGTAAATAAGGTATGGGTAATAAAGTAATGTAAATAAGGTATGGGAAAAACGAAATAGAGAACACACTCTACAAAATAAAATAGTTTACTAATGTTCCTACTGACATCAGAAAGTTAAACAATTACTCAGTGGCTCCATAAACACACACAGTGGTGCTAGAATTTGTAGTTCCTATTAGATTTTACGAACGATTCTGACATGTACCTATACAACAAAATCCGTACTACTAGGTATCACACCTAGCACTGACCACCTTGCCCAGGGGAAGATCTTCATTTTTCTTTCCACTGCCAAAGACATATGTTAAACAATCTCTTATCCATATCCAATTCTACTTGGCGGATTAAGGATTATAACAAAGTCTCTCGATAATCGGAGAACAAGTACCTAGAGATTGCTACGGTAACTATTGTATTAATTATGTTTGTAACAAAAGGAAAGTACAAACAGGCCCCTATAAATTTTAAAATTAAAAAAAAAAAAAAAAGCAACCAATCTTTTATAGCGAATGGATAATGTTGTGGATAATGTCCAATCAAATTTATTACAATTACCGTTAATTTACAGATTATAGATAATAAATAATAGACATATTATCGTTAATTTGTTTATGTGATATGCTAACGTGTTCATTAATTGATTTGTTTTGTTTTGTTCAATAGAACGTACATAAATTACCTCTTATCAGAATTACAGCTAAAGATATCTATAGGTACACTAAATCTATAGGATTAAACAATTTTATCAAGGTCTGTTTCTTATTCATTTGTGATCAGGTCAAAACAGAAGGATGAGCTTTTGGGGAAAGTACCTACTAGTTATTTTGTCATTTCTACTAGTACGAGATTATCTGATTAAACGTCAGATAATTACTAGGATAGAGAGAGTCCTAAAATAAGAACAAACTTCTTATAGCAGAACTCTTTATACATATAACGTTTAATATGGTACAAAATAAGACAGCTAGGTACTTTATTCTCACCTTCTTTCTTTTACTAGGTTGTTGCCGTTTTCCTATAGGGATGTGCCATTTATATTTATAAATAATTCTGTGACCTGGTGCAAGTAAGTTTTTTTAAAGAAATGTAATTTTAAAGCCATGTTATTGAAGAATATGAAATATGATTGTGTAAAAAGACCGTACTTATTGATAGTATTACGTATTAATAGTCTTTCAAAAGGCACTATGTAAAATAATGCGAAAATATGAAAATAGTGCACAAACAAATTTCATACTTTTTCAATAATGTGGTTTTAAAATATCATTTCCAAAAAAAAACTTACTTTGGTCCTTTTAGCACCAGAGGCCCTAGACAAATTACATTTTCATTAACGATAACGAAATTACATAACTCCGAAATGTATTAAACTGACATAAGCTTTCAAAATATCACGTGGTCGATCGTTTTCGATAGCTAATTGCTAGACAATGTTAAAACCACGTAACGAAACGATAAAGAAAACTAATAATACGAACGACATTATCTTAGCAATGCGTAGACAAGTGGCACTTTTGGCTTTCGAAATCGCTGAGAAGTCGAACCGTTCATTCGACAACTTAGCGAGCGCATGAACCCTTTAGAAAAGCAAAGGAACATGGCTGATTGTTAGTCAGCTGTTGGTATTATTTGCATCAATTCGTGCTTGTTTCTCGTTTTAGTGATAAAATGCATACATTGCATTTACTAAGGGCTAGACATACAACGCGGTCACATTAACTTGACGCATCGCTGGAATGCGAGGCCCCGCCCGCTTCCCCCCGCACTCCCTTAGCTCGCTCGGCAATCATCAGTATGGTTAGCATTTCTGTTACCGATACGCGCGTCGATATTTTGACTAGTTTTCTGTTGCTATTGTTGTTTTTGGACATTTTGTTACGTTTTCGTTATTGTTTAAGTTTGCACTGTTTTCGTTAATTTTGAACTATTTTTGTTACTACTCATTTTTTAACATGGGGAAAACTATATACAGTGAAGGGAGAAATCTTGTATTGAAAGTGCTACAGTTTTTCGAGAATGAGAAGAAAAATAGACGCTTTTGCATACCTGTAGATCAGGTTGATAAACGAACCTGTGCAGCAACTGGAATATCAAGAAGTACTCTTATTCGTATAAAAAGGGAGGCCAAAAAGGCATGTGTACCACCGTCGGGTTCTTCGCCCGACACTAGTCCAAGCACTAGCGCGGCTCCAAGTACTAGTACGGCCCCAAATAAACTAGCACCGTTCCAAGCACTGACATTTGTCCCAGTCCAAGTACTACAGACAATCCAATGAGGGAAATAAAGTTATCCACACCGGGTAAAAAGCGTAAACAATCAGCTAAAAAAATTGTCTTGGATGATTTTGATATTTGCGCAATACGCAATAATCAACAGCTTTTATACTGTAAAAAAGGAAGTACCCACGCTTAAAAAAATCTTGGCAGCTGTTAAGAGAGATTTTAATTTTCAAGTTAGAAGAACTTTCCTTAGAAATATTTTAATAAATCAGTTGGGTTACAAGTTTAATAAATGTAGAAGTGCGCGTTCGGTGCTAATTCAAAAAGCCGATATAGCCGCATGGAGAGAACGCTACCTGCGCCGAATGAAAGAGAACAATGACCTCGGCGTAGGTAAAAAAACCAGTTACCTACCTCTGTATGAAACGTGGATCCATTCCCATTATACCGTCAGCAAATGCTGGCAAAACAGCACAGATAGCAGCGTGAATAAAATTTAAATTTTAACCCGGGTCAACGGTGGATTCTGGTGCATACTGAAGAAGAAAACGGATTTATCCCAGATGCAGATTTGTTATACAAATGCAAAAGCACTACTGGCGATTACCATCATGAAATGAATTCCGAGAACTTTTTGAAATGGCTTAATGAAAAGCTGATACCAAACTTGTCCCCAAATAGTATAGTCGTCATTGACAACGCGCCTTACCACTCAACGCAGTCGGTGAAGGCGCCCACAAGTGCAACGTTAAAAGGAGACATGCAACAGTGGCTGCATGAGAACAATTTTCCATTTGATGAAAAAATGAAAAAGAGAACTCTACCATATTATAAAAAAAGGCAAAGCAGCCCAAGCAATACATTGTCGATGATTTAATGAAACGGCATGGCCATGAAATTGTACGTTTGCCACCCTACCATTGTGACCTCAACCCCATTGAATATGTCTGAAATTTGGACAAACAGAGGGTGGCATACAAAAACGTAGACCAACAAGAAAAAAAAATTGAAAATCTCACCAGAGATGCAATAAACTCCATCACAGCATCAGACTGGAAAAAAGAAGTTAACCATGTCGAGAGACTACAACAGGTCAGTTCGTAAATAAATTATAAATCTAAAGTATGTATGTATGTATGTATGTATTTATGTTCGTATTGTGATGTTAAATAAAAAAATATAAGTACTTTTTTGGAGGTACATTTCAGTAATTCACTAAATTGATACAATTATTTTGTGGTAAATTTATAACAACACTATTTTATTTATTTTCAGGAATACTGGGAAAAAGATGGCCTGGTTGACGACGTACACAGCAGCAACTTGTAATCGATCTTGGAGCAGAGGAGTCATCCGACAGCGCGATCGAAAGTGAAGAAGAAGACAGTTTAGACCATGATATTGTACCAATTATTTATAGAAAGATGAATTTTGAATAAATATTTATCTATCAACATAAAATAGTTTTAAATTATATTGTATAAAAAAATACATGATGCAACATATTGCAAGATTAACAAATAAAACCTATGCTCTAAAATCAAAAATATAGTTTTTATTTAGCTACACGCTTTTTTTCGCACCGTATGCGTAAAGCAATGCGTCAAGTTAATGTGACCGCGTTATAATGAGAATGTGTGGTTGAGGCGACAAAAATTAAACAATTACGGTGAAACCTTACATCTTTGCCCACATATTTCGGTTTTTATTACTTTTTTCAAAAAATAGTTACTTTATTTTGATGGTTGCTGAAGCTTTAAACGACACTCTATGCAACAAATAAACTGTCAAAACCGGGTGACATAATTCCTAACAGATGCTAAGAAAAAAACAAAAACAGACGAGGGCAAAGTTATCTCCACTTTCTTACATCTTTGCTCAACCTAAATTTCTCAGCAACTATAAGGTCTATGACTTTGATTTTAAGATATATTGTTAGCAAATCGGCAAAATGGTATACCATTACATTTTCAAATAAATAGAAGTCCATTTTAAGTTTTAATGGCGGTGGGCAATGTTATCACCACATTTAGTCACACTTTCATACTAAGAGATTATAGTTGCTAGGGCTGTGTATCAGATGAAAGAAAAAATAATAAACTGATTTTAATATAATAATGTATATTTTATTTTAAAAATTAAAAACAAAAACTAACTGAACAACAAAAAAAATCAAGAAAATGTAAATTGTCTCAGAAATTAACCCTGATAGTTAAGATAAGGAAAAGTAGACAGCGACGATACTTATTTAATATAATACGAGTCCAGCTTATACCGATTTTGTTACCACTGATGTGCGTGGTTCACATACTGTGCGTATCAATCCATTTTGTCGGCCATTTTTGTCTGCGATCGTTAATGTCTGTCGTTGAGGAGACAATTCTCTTTTAGATTTAATTTTTTTTGCAAACGAATTGCCGCATAAATCTTATTTAAAAACTTTAGCTTGAAACTGAGAACATTTAAGGTCTCTCTTTTGGGAAACTAGCGGTTTCTGACAAAAATTCCCCACAAATATATACCTATTTATTATATTTAAAATAATATATAAAACAGTATCTAGTTACCTATATAGTTATCACAACAGTAGTTTAGTTAACAGTGGTTATTGTTATACAGTTTTTATATACCTATATACATTTATTTATTTTATTAAGTATACCTATATATTTACAATTTTTTACATATATAATTTTTATTTATTATACCTAGGTACATGTTTCCTTGTTTTGTTTTCAATAGTGTCAACCCTAATAACATTTTTGAGCTGGGCAATGTTGTCGACCTCAGTTTATAAAATTGCTTACAACATTACCCTCACAATTTTCTCGCTAACTAAGACAAATGTAAGAAAGAGACCTTGATTAAAAGCAGCAACAACTAATGCCCTACACGTAAATAATAATGAATCTTACTTGCGCAGCTTTTCTTGGCAATGCGGGATGCAAAACTGCAACAATGTTTTTGCACCACCTTCGACACTGTCGCTTTGACGGTTGCTGACTGATGCCTGAATATAGTTAGCTGCGATTGTAGTATTCACTGCTGTCAAACAGATACTCTAGTTTTCCCTAGACACCATACAAAGTTGACATTTGTTAAAATAAAATGTCTATCGGTAGTTTTAGGTAATTTTCGTGTTTGGGCAAAGATGTCCCTCAAGGGCAAAGTTGTAAGGTTTCACGGTACCAGCAAAAAATAGAAAGAGTAGAAGATATGCCCGAGTTACTGTTTGTTGTACATATATTTCCATTTGAAAGAGCACCTTTCGGCGGCTTTACAATGATTTACATCAACAGTACCTATCTATATTTATTAAGCGTGTGTAATTGTTCAACTGAGCGAATTGTTAAATATTTAGTATTATTAGTTGTATAGACAAATACTAATGTATAAAATTTTACTAAATGTTTCATTTAGTGCTTGGTTGGACTAGGAAACTTACTGATAAAATAAGTAAAGTAACGTGTTGTGATCATTCCTTTTACAAGTTTTTTACTAGCTTGCAATGTTTGTATATTAGATCTCGCAACATTTTGTGGTAGGATTCCATTGCGAGACTTGCATTTTTTTTGTTGTTATGTTATTGGTGGGATTGATTTATCAATGAATACATCAAAAATTTATAGAGACATTTTAAATATTTCTTATTGGGTATCATCACTCATCATTCACCTGTGCTTGTCCTAACTCGATTGGGGTCAGTGGGGTACATGGCGCTTTCCTTTCATACTCTTTCAGCCACCATCTTTGTAACTACACGCTCGCAGCCCATCCATTCTGGATGTGTTATTAAAACTAAAATAGTCAAAACAAAATGTTATAATTATATAATTTAACCAACTCCTTTATTTTATTAGACCTACTTAAATAACTTAATAATAACTATCTACATACACTTAGGTATATATACTTAACCATCTACTAAATAAATGACAATATTAAACTTTAAATAAACTTGAAATACTATCATTACTAAAAATAAATCCAATTAGTACTAAATTTAAAAATCTTTAAATCAGTTCAAAATAAAGTATTTCTAACATTATCTAAAACTAGTTTTTACGCAAGAATTTCAATAGTAGTCGATATCTAAGCGTGAGGTCACGGCTTCGATCTCCGGGTCGGGCAGTGTTATTGGGTTTTACTATTAGAAATTTCTGCGTAGCAGCTTGGAGTCTGAATTTAAAAAAATCCAATTAGTACTAAATTTAAAAATCTTTAAAGCAGTTGAAAATATGGTATACAATTTAACCTCTCAACCCCCTAGCGATCTCATGAGACCGCGGCCATATTCCGTCAAATCCCTAGCGGTCTCTTGAGGTCGCACCCACCCACAGCACTTTAACCCATAAAAACTTATATATAGAGATTACTTTACTATGAAGAAAATTAGCATTATATAATCAATATGAAATACTCTATCCTCTAGTGCAATAAAAAAAACTATTATCCTATGAATATTTATTTATAATCTACGTTCATTTCGTACGCCATTTTCGCGTGAATGTTATTGTGTTGATTTTTGGATTTTTCTAGTGTTTTAGTATAGTGTCTTATTATGAAATTATAATGAAAGTTTTTGTGTGAATATAATTTATCTTTTTACGTAAATAATTTCGAGTAATATATATTGAAATAATTGTGATTTTCACGCTGCTGACATTTGCTTGGTATGTTTTTTTTTGTTATGAAAATACAATAAAATCTTTTTTGTAATGAAGTAAAACCTAACTTTTGTTTAAACCACGGGATAGAAAATATTGTACAGATTTTATAATGCTAAACTTTTTCATAGAAAAGTAGTATCTAAATATAAGTACTAATGGTTCTAAGTGCTGGGGGTGGGTGCGGTCGCATGCGACCGCTCGGGATTTGCCGGGCGCATGCGACTACATGGAATTTTTATGGCGCTTGAAGGGTTAAAATATGGCGTGAAAAGTTCACTATGAAATCTACTTAGATTTACTCAGTATATTTCTGCCAAAGTATCCTTAGACTTATTATGGGTTTCACAAAGAATAATAACTGTGTTTGTTTAATCGACATTGTGTTTGTGTCATGGAACGTTCACTGAGGGCACTGCTACATTAGTTTATTTTTATAGAATGAGGGTGCCAAACAAGCACACAGGCCACCTGATGGTAAGTGAATGCTGTGGCACATAGACATCTACATTTATCCTTGATTAAGAATAAAATGCAGACGCGTAGTCACCTCTGAGAACTAACGTGGAATGCCTCGTTTCCAGTAAAAAAGATCACCGGTTCTTTACACTCACCATTCGATACACAGCAGCCTTAATTATTAATTCGGTATTCTGTGAGAGCGTGGTCCTGCCCAGATTTCGATGAATTATCAAACTTATAATTGCACCCAATAAGTGGCATTGTTGTCGAGACCTAGAAAACAGTCGTAAAAAGCCGGGTGGATCGTTAGTCAGTATATGAAATTGGGATTACAAATGGAACCAACTCCCTCATGTAACGTTTGTCTGTCAAGACTTAGTATTGATACCTCCCTAATTATTCGTTTTTAAAGTTTGCGAAATGAATATTTGAAATGAAATATAATAATTATTATCAATTGATTTAGAAAACAATTTACTTAGATATTTTAGGCATTAAAAATAAAAAAAAATAAATCAATAAATAACTAAATAAAAACGAGTATATTCGATGTCGATTGTTGCAAATATTGCGAACGAAATCACTATTGATTAAAGACGTAATATCTTGTTAAGTAACGTCATACGTAATACTGCCACAATATTGATGTAATTTTTCTATTAAATCAGAACATACGAGTGAGTAAACTTACTCTCATATTTGGCATAGTATAAAGTGACCAAAGATGACCACTTGACATTTCTATTGCCACGTGTGAATTATCCGCAGCATCTTTCAACAGATTTGTCTCTTTTTGCCTTATTGGAAAATTAAATAAGAAAAAGCGAGACAAGTATACCAACTCAATTTATGTAGAATTGTAGGTTCTCTCTATGCATACGTATGTAAGACTATATAGCATGGAGTATAGAGGTAAGGAAGACAATCCCCCATAGGAGAATAGTTGAAAATATGTCCTTCTGAAAGGAGTAAAGCAGTAGTTCAAAAACTCTTCACAACAGCGCAGTAGCTACAGGGTATGATAAATCGCCATAAAATACGTTGAGAGTGATTTCGAAAATAAAAATTTTGGTAGCAATAAAATAATTATTATAATAAGAATTATGTTGAAAGTCTATTATGCAATAAAAAAATTATAATAATACTTACCTACCTACCTATTTAGCGCTTTCCTACGGATACTTTTTTATACAGTCTGTACTCCTTACCTCTACACTCCATACTATATAGGACCATGAAGGTTAGAGAACAGGAGAACGATCACCGTAGAAAATAGTGTCCCAGAAATATGGACACCATCAGTGAGGCGTTGCGATCGCAAAGTTCTGTGAATAAAAGTCATTTTCAGTCTATTTTTCCGATCAGATGCTAAACCACTTGCACATCCACGCACAATAAAATATTTCTCCATTTTTTAATGTTTCTTAATGCCAAAAATTACAAAATTACAGAGCATGAAAATTTTCTCAATAAAAATGAAATGAAAATTTGTACATTTTCAACTAACTTCATCTACTTGTACTCATAAACAGCTAACTTCGCAGTCACTACTCACCGACGTCAGCGCCGCTATACATTCTACAATTTTCAAGGACAGGCGGGCTATGCTTTAGTACCACAAACTAATAAGAGTACTACTTTAGTACGTAGTGATCGTTCTCCTGTTCTCTAACCTTAATGATATAGGACATTGGTGATTATATGCTCTTTGAGTATTGTCATTGGTCTTTGGACATTGTCAGTGTCACTCAGTTTGTCAGGTGTCACTGTCAAATCTGTCAAGTTTTATAGGTTAAGAACTATAAGTTTATGTTTGCGAATTTGTGCTACGTGTGTATATGTATAACTACAATTTGAGTAATCTATTTCAATTAAAGTTATCATCAAATAGATCGTTATCGCAGCTAATGCGGAACGGTCGCGTTTACATGTATCAGTCCGTGGCATCAAAGTGAAGATGCTGTCGCGATGCGTCGTGTCGCAAGTGAAGCACAACTCGTACTTCCTGGTGGGGCTGGCACTGGGTCTGTGGTTGGCGTTGGCGACGGTGCCGCTGGAGGAGGAGAGTGCAGCATGTGTAGCGCCGGCGGCTGCGGTGGGGGTGGACGAGTGGGAGCCGGTGCGAGAGCAGCGCGAGATGGGCGCGGCGGGTGCAGCGGGACGCAGCGTGCAGCGGCCGCGCTACTACAGCACGGAGTTGGGCATGCGTGCTGGGCTGCTGGCGGGCGCGCTCACTTCCGAGGAGGCGCTGGGGGGTCGCGCGGCGGCGCTCAACCGTACTGCGGCGCGCTTGCTGCCCGCGCTGCGCTTCTTCATCACGGCCAGCGCGCTGCGTTCCGCCCCCGCTGGCGCCAATGTCGTCGGCTTCACCGACACCAGGGAGATGCTCAAGCCCTTCCATGCACTCAAGTACCTCGCTGACAACTATCTGGAGGAATACGATTTCTTCTTCCTTGTCACTGACACAACATTTGTGAATGCACAACGCCTTACTGAACTTGTATCCCGCCTCAGTGTCAGTCAAGATGTTTATATGGGCACTGTAGCTGAAGATGACACACAGTACTGCTCTTTAGGTATGATATATCCTCATTACACTGCTTATATCCCTCTTTTGTAAGTAAATATATGTAACATTCTGTGCTGTACCATTTTATTTAGAAAATGAACACAACCTCATTAATATTTTGAGGTGTGAGCCATAAAATTTATTTCATCACATTAAATATTTTTTTGACTGCAAAGGTCATGGACTATTTCACAACAGTGATGATGTCAGAGTTTTTCTGATAAATTTCAACATCGGTATAACTTTCAAATTTGTAACATTCAAATGATATACAATACAATTATTCTATTTAGAAAAAACATATTGAGAAGTATTTATATAAAAATATTGTTTATTTCTTTTTTATCACAGTTTCTTTTATTTTTTTTTATTATGTGCAGGCAGCTATGCAGGTCTATGGAAAGAGACCTGTATCACTGCAACCTAGAAGATCTATTGTGATCGCTGCTATGGCTATAGTTCACGGCTAAGCCCTTCAATGAATAGAAGGAGTTGCTTAGCCATGAGCAATTTCACTTCTTCTGAGCGGAGTACATAGTTTCCCAGATGAGTGTTACGTTTGCGCATTAAGGGTCTGCAATCTGTTAGGATGTGTCCTCTACACACATTTCTTCCGCTATCACAGTTTTATTATATTGCATGTTTGCTTATCCATATAATGTAGTAGAGTTTTTCACCAACTTTTAGACATCTGAATAATCAAAATTCTCACTTGAAATATAATAGTAAGTATTATTATGAGAATTTTAGAAAGTTAGGCTAATGCTTTTGATACAGAGTACTTACATCAATGGTAAGAGTTTCTGTCCAAAAAGTATAATAATCATGTCTGTTCATGTGCAGGTCCAGACTCCAGATTATTCAATTTTGTCAAGGTCAGAACAGAATGGATATAGGATATAGTTATTTTGCCATTTCTATGACTGCTATCCGATTACACAAAAATCTCAGTATAAAGGCACTGTGTCATCTTTGTAGTAATTTTAAGTCAAGAAGTTTAAAAAAACACACATAGCAATAAAATAGTTAATTGGCTATTTTTATGCCATTAATATTTTTATAAAAACACTGAATTCATACTGAAAACTAATTTTGATAACAATAAAACAGCTTAAGTTACTAACTTACTACTAAATATGTTAAGTGACCATAGATCTTACTTAGTGGTAACTAGGCATAATACTATCTATCTTAGTCTACTGACATATGTTGGTGTCCATGGGCCACTTCATCCAATTCCCATCAAGTGGACTTTGTGCTCATTCATAGGCCTCCCCTAAGTAATGCCACAAAGCATGGTCCTGAGCCACCTGCATCCATCGACTTTCTGCATATCTTACCAGGTCATCACTACATCTAGTGGGGGGTCACCCCCTCTCGAGAACCTTTCTTCCCCATTGGTTATCGGTTCTTCGAACTAAATGGCCAGCCCATTGCCACTTCAGCTTACTACTAATCCGTTGGGCTATGTCGGTTACTCTGGTTTGACTATGGATATTGTCCTTTCTGAGCTTATCACGCAGAGAAACCCTGAGCATAGCCCTATCCATAGCTTGCTACTTTGAGCTACTTTGAGCGTCCTCATACGGCCAGCGGTGAAGGACCATGTCTTAAATCCGTAAGTCATCACCGGCAACACGCACTGGTTGTGCTCATTGGTCATTCTTATTTCTGTAAACATGATTACATTTTTACATGATTATATGAAAACACATTCTGGTATGTCAACAGAGAGTGGCATCCTTCTGTCCAACTCAGTGCTGCGAGCTATACACGGCGCACTGGACTGGTGCGTGCGCAACTCCTACTCGCCACATCACCACGAGAACATCGGCCGCTGCGTGCTTCACGCCGCGCACATCACATGCACCTCCTTCCTGCAGGTGAAACTAATCACCAGTCGGTGGAACCAATTGTCTCAGTATTTTTGGTATGATTATGCAGCAACCTATGGCATATAATATATAATAACTGGGTTAATTGTTTCTATTTTTACGGGATAGCATGACAAACGAGCACACAGACTACCTGATGGTAAGTGGTTGCTGTGGCCCATAGACATATACAATCGATTACAAATCAAAATGCAGATGCGTTGTCACCCATGCATACTAAGATGGAATGCCTTGTTTCCAGTAAAAAGGGTCTCCATTTCTCTACACGCACCATACGAAACAGCAGCATTAAGCTACTATTTTACGCGGGTATTCTGTAAGAGCCGACCCATTCGTGCTACAACTATACTACTAATATAACTGTAGCATGGCTCTTCTACGTATAAAAAGTAGCAAAGTGTTGTTAGTTAAATAGTAGCACTCAACTAAACACTACTGCTACTAGTGTATTCAAATTAAAATGACAGATATAACATTTTATGTTTTTGCTGACAGAAAGTTGCCCTTTTGATACGGCTAATGAATAGACACTAAATTGTTAATATTTAGGTTTTTTTTTCTGCCACTCCTGTGTCACAAATCTATTAGATAGTATCCACAGGTGATGTCATTTTATTAATTTTAATTATTCTTTGCAATTGTTTTAACATTAGAAAACATGGATTTGCATACTAATAATTCAATGGAATTAATTTTTTTAATAAACCGATGATTAATTCATACCTAACAATTATAGATTTCCCTCCAAACTTATTATTAAATATTATTAAGGTTAACTTAACTTTTATTGAAAATTATTAAGGTTTCCAACTTTTGGATCAACTAATTTAACTGTGTGCAGCAACAGATATATACTGATATTTGTTGGTTGCCACAACCTCAATCGTTATTTTTGCCAAAGTAAGATATTTGGGGATATTGTAATATCCATTTTATACCTTCTTCTTTATGGAGGATGGACAAATAGGCTATAGTGATTATGAGGTGTCAACTTACTGAGTGGTTAAACCGAAAAGCTCACTCACTTCATTGTTCATAATGCATACATTGAGTAGAATTATTTTGCAAGTATTTCCATCCGAACAATGCAGGTGTCTTCAAGGTGAGAGTGAATAGGCTTTTGTTAAGTTAAGCCAGTGCGTTATAGTTTGCCTCGGGTAAGGAAAGGGGGATACCTCTCGTCAGACAGGGTGTTTAGCCTGGGGCTATATATACAATAGTTCTTTGGAACTTTGATAGTGTGATTGAGGCTGCCGTGCGTTTGGACATGATGTGGGGCGATGACAGCGCCGCCACATTAGCATGTTCGGTTGCATCGCCACTCACCATTAGATGGAAAAGTGAAGCAGCGGCGTTAAAAGATGAAAAAGCAAGACATTACTATGTGCAGGGCGACCACTACTTGTCGTGGAAGCTGACGGGCGAGATGGAGCCGCAGCCCGCGCTGGCCGACGCGGTCACCGCGCACCCCGTGCACACGCCAGAACACCTCTACCAGCTGCACGCCTATGTCTCCAGGGTAACTTTGCATTTTTACTTTTACGTTTTGTACAATTTTTTGTTAAAATTTAATTATGCTTATGTTTCGGCAACCCTGAAAAATCTGCGAGTAAATGAGCCTTCTTCATCGAAGACCATAGTAGTGTTTCGAGCTTGGGGTTCGTGACAGTAAAAACTGCCGATTGAATTATCAAAATTGACATTTTAATTACCAAACACCAATTACAATAAAACAAAATTCTACTACTGATCACTTTAGTTCGCAGTTATATCACTTCGAACTATTAGCTTGAATTACCAATTCAATACTGACTCGGTCGCAGCCCTACCGGCCTTATATAGGACCTCTTCTACTGAAACATCTAGAATGTTCGAGTACATACCGGTCCCGACTGACTAGGTGTAGAAAGTTCTAGTATAGAATTTTCTAGAAAGATCCTGATGCTCCTAGTTCTGCTACTCGATGGCGCTAGTAGTAACTCGCCATGTACCAGTCATTAATTATGGCGCGCAACAGTGGCAAGCATTAGTGATTATTTTTGCTGATATGACTTTTGGAATAATTTGGCTGTGGTATGGTCGGTTCAAGATCTAAAGAACCAACAACCAATGGGGAAGAAATGTTCTTGAGTGATAGCTACGTACCAGTAGGCGAAGTGTAAGGCGTGTCCCATGCTAGATAGAATGACGACCTGGTAAGACACGTAGGAAATGGATGGATGTAGGTGGCTTAGGACCATGCTTTGTGGCATTCCTTGGGGTAGGCCTTTATTCAGCTGTGGACTTGTGAAGAGCAGTAGTGATGATGATTGTCGGTGCAGGTGCTGCTGCAGCGCGCGCAGGAGCAGGTGTCGCAGCTGCGGGTTGCTGCAGCGCTGAGCGCGCGCCGACACCCGCGCGGCTTCCGCAATGTGAGCTGGCCGGCCGGCCTGCGGGCCACGCCCGGCCTGGCTGCACCGCCGCCCGCAACCAGGTCAGTGCAGCTGCAACGCAACGCCAGCTGGCCGGCCGATGTGTGAAGGCATCTCTGAGTCTTCTTTGAAATATATTATTATTTATTAATTTAAAATGTTGAGAATCAGATTGCCTTCTTTCTGTTCCGTTTTGCTTTGCGGGAAGAATTAGTAAATACCTACTGAGACGAATACGCAGAGTCGCAGATAGACAAGCAGACTACAATAACCTGGTGTGGTTGTACGGTACAAATTTCGCATATTGTGGTAAATACCCATGTCCAGTAGCATGTATTACAGTGTGATGAAGCTTTTTATAGAATAATAGTGACAAACAGCCCATCTGATGCTAAGTGGATGCTGTAGCCCATAGACATCCAAATTTACCTGCCATTTAGCTTCTATTTCACGCTGATACTCTGTAAAAGCGCGGGTCATTTCCCGGTCGAGGCAGCCCATTCGCCATTCACTCTTGTATGACGTAAGATGCATTCGGTAGCATGTGTGCCTGCAGCGTGACGTGTTGCAGGTTCGACCACCTGCGCTGGACCACGTTCAACGCGACGCACGCGCTGCTGCCGGACGACCACCGCGCCGCCGCTCCCCTCACCGGACCCACGAAGGCTGCAATTGACGTCAGTACCCTAAAATCTATAAATATAAATCATGTGTCTCTCTGTAAAGACCGATTTACACTTCGACAAGTACAGTAGCGAGTTTAGTTACAGGACAATTGACAGTAAACGGTTAAGTGGGCAGTAGCGTTCAAACAATGTCTTCGTGGCGAGTTTAGTTAAGGAAATTAGTTCATAGAGTTCGTTGGAGTATGACGTTTCAAGACTACAGAATTTTTCCGGTTTTCATTTAAGATGGTTCTAGGATTACGTCAAGAATTAAATGATCCAGTCAGAGAAGTATTAATGGTTGTTGTTAAAGAAGTTTTTAAGAACTTTCATGAGTTCAATTTGAACTTTTACTATTATATAAACATTCGTGTTCGAAATACTCCTGTACGGATTTATACGTGATATCTTCTGTCCATTTTATTATTAAAACTCAATATAAAACGTATAAATATTCAATAAACAGTATCTTACAAACTTTGTGGCGTGTTTCATTATAAAAGTACAATTGTACGTTTTGGCGCGCAAACGTTGCGTCCTGTCAACTTATGCATTGAACTAAACTCGCTCGTTTACACGAACGGCGAGTTTAGTTGCGGGTGGCGGGAGACGCGCGGGAGGGCAGCACTTCGCACTTAACTTGCCGAAAAATAGCTCGGCCGACTATCCCGTTCAACTTAATCGTTAACTTGCTACTTAATTCGCTTATTGCCGTTCAAACGAAGTTCAAACTTAACTCGCCAGGTTCGCAAGTTCGCTACTGTACTTGTCGAAGTGTAAATCGGTGTTAATATCGAAATACTTGTCTTATATTGAACGAATGGCGTTATTTGCATTCCGTTAGGACATCAATAGCCATCTTTGAAATTTTTCTATGTCTGACTGTCCGGGGTACTCTTCGAAATGACTGAACCGATTGCAATAAACTTTGCGAACAGATAGACAGCAAAATCAGAAGTGGTCTTTGCTTATATTTTATCCGCAAAACTGTGGCTTCAAATGAATGGTCTTCGATTATCTAAAGATGTATGCTCACCTTCCATACATTGATTTACCTGTCACTTGATTCATTTTACAGGTCGCGTCTGCCTACAACTACTGCTGCATAAAATCAATTATTGTTTATAATAACGTAATAACTTATCACCTTTTCATGTAGAGGCCACGGAAAAATGCTGTAAAGTAAATAAGTTTTTTAGGTTATAACCTGTCAACTGTACACTATGGTATACTATGGTGTGGAAAGAAAAATAACTTACCACACCATAGTAAAATCATATCTAATCATAAAATAATAAGATAAGTAACAAAAAACAATTGGTTATTTTGAACATTTATAAAATCGTAAACCAAATGACGAATTAATAAGATATTCCTAGTGAAACGAAACGTGTAAACGTGTTTTTATATACATTATGGCATGTTTTCTGGGCCTTTAAGTCATTGTGAAACGCGTTCCGTCTCCAAAAGTCTATTGAGAATAATAAACATAGTAATATTACTTTTTTCCTGGCTTTATTGGAAGATTCAATTATGCGATACGAAATAAGGAAAATAAAGGCAATTTTGTAAGATATTTTACATCACTAGATGCGTTAGAAAATTTTTAGGTCAAGATTGGACATGATTCTTTAAATAATGCCATGTTAATAGATCCTACACAGGCGAAGCCAGGGCGGCGCGTTAGTGTTTCTGAAATATTTAGTATCGTAGTATATAGTTAGGTACTACTTAGCCCATATGTTCTCTTCAACACAATCATTTTTAATTAATCACTTAAAATTCTATAAATAATAGGATTATAGTACGAACTTCCCATTTTAATGTCATGGCTGACACCACCTCCTTGGATACAGGAGCACATTGATATATTTACCGATTTTAGTAAAGTTTTTGATCGTATAGATTACCTGTTGTTCTTCGGGAAGTTTTATATATGAAACTGGTATACATGGTAACTTGTACAGGTGGCTTTCGTTGTATTTTAATAAAAGATCGCAAGTGGTTTCAATAAATGGGTTAATGGATGCATGGATGTCAATCTCTTCTAGTGTAACTCAATATTCTTTTCACGGCCTTTGTTATTGCATGCCTTAGGCCAAAGTGCGTAGGTATTGTTGCGCGGCGTAGTTGATGACGGTAAATGCCCCTAGCGCCATCTAGTGTAGGATAGCAGAGAGGAGAGCTTTCTAGAAAATGCCTGAAAGGTATGTTCTACTAGCGCCTAAAAATCGAGAATCCAACGTTTTGTTACATGAAACCCTACGAGTATCTAAAATAAGTTACCGTAATTTTTTTCTGTAGTTTCTGTTTCTATTAAATCAAAATAATCATTCACGGTATTCATATTCTGTAATTAATCAAATTATTAAAGTATCCATGATTACCAAAAATATTCCAATTGCGATGAAAACATAATGCTAATCTATAAAAAAAAATTACTAATTTAAAAAAAGAATTCCATGTTTTTAAAATGAGATTAATTTGGAATTAGAATTCTTAGGCAAACAAAAACTATTTTGATTTGAAATGGCTAGTACTTCAGAACGGCAATTTCATAGGTAAATACCTATTCTATAAAATAAAGATAGTGAGGTCGATTAAGGAGAGTTTGCGTGTTACAGCTGGTTTTGGAAGAGGGTGGCGCGTGGGCGCGGCGGCGCTGGGCGAGTGCGCGCGTGACTCTACTGGAGGGTGCGTGGTGCTGGCAGCCGCCGCACGCGCTGCGCTACCGCCTGCTGCTGCAGCTGCAGCACGAGCGCGGCGTGGCCGTGCGGCAGCTGGAGGTGGCGCGCGTTCTGGGCGGCGCGCGCCTCGCGCCGGCGCGCTACGTGACGGAGAGCGCGCGCGTGCTGCTGCTGCTGCCGCTGCGCGCGCGCCACGTGGACGACGCGCGAGCGCTGCTGCGCCGCCTCGACGCCTGCCTGCGCGCCGACCGCAACGCCGCGCTGCTGCTGCTCCTGGTGAGTGACGGACACTGCTGCTGCGACCACCTCCAAACTACCAGAATCGCTAAACTTCTTCGGTGAAGTCCTTAACAATTGCAAATATGGTTGATCGATTGATAGCAGTTGTAATCGCTGCCCAAAGTTGACTTCACACCGGCTCGAGCATTTTTATTATATGTGGTAGAGCCACACTGCAGCCGTATTATGGTTGTAGCACGAATGGGTCGGCTCAACCAGGAAAGGGCCACGCTCTCACAGAATACCAGTGTAAAGTAGCAGCTTAATGCTGCTGTGTTTTATTTGGTGAGTGTAGACATCCAGAAAACCTTTTTTACTGGAAACGAGGCATTCCATCTTTTTTATAGAAGAGGGGGCAAACGAGCATGCCGCCCCAAAACTACCGCATGATCAACCGCAACACCAGGGGAATTGCAGGTGCGTTGCCGGCCCTTGTAGAAAGGAGTAAGCTCTTTTCTTTTTTGAAGGTCCCCAGGTCGTATCGGTCCGGAAAAATCCCCGGTGGTAAACTATTCCACAGAGAGGTAGTACGCGGAAGAAAAATCTTAGTCCTCAGGGGTGACAGCGCATCTGCATTTTGATTCTCAATCGAGGATAAATGTAGATGTCTAAGGGCCACAGCATCTACTTACTGTCAGCTGGACTCTGTGCTCGTTTCTCACCCTTATTCTATAAAAAAATATTAAAAAGTGGAGTCGAATTTTGCGAATCTTTACAAATTTTGAATAATAAAGACAGAGGAGCCAAAACAAGAAAGGCATATATTGCTCTTTTTATATGCATGTTAACCAAGGCCATCCACCTTGAATTGGTTGGTGACTTGACATCAGAAGCCTTCGTCGGTGCGCTTCGAAGATTCGTGACGAAGAAAAGCGAATTTTATCATACGTGGGACGACCAAGGTCGTAATTTCTTCGGTGCTGATAGAGAACTACTAACAACTTGATGAGAAGCTGATTTGGCCTTTGAAGGGAACATAGCTGAGACCTTGGCGCTAAACGGCACACAATTCCATTTTATCCCGCCTTACAGCCCAAATTTCGGAGAGCGTGTTTGTAGATAGACTACAAACATTAACTTCGTGAAAATGACCACCGTTTTATGCCAAATAAACGCTTGCCTCAATTCCCGACCGTTGGTTCCAATAGACACGGATGATCCTGATTTTATAAAGTCATTAACACCTGGGCATTTTTTAATTGGTCAAGCCCCAATTGTAGTCCTTTTAATCGATCTGAAAGATATTGCAATTTCAAACTTAACATGATGGCAACACCTCCAAAAACTTCCGGAAGATTGGCTTTAACGTTGGCAGACGGAATATCTAACAAGACTCCAACAACGCCCCAAGTGGCAGAGATAGCAGCGCGAGTTTAAACTGGGAGATATAGTTTTAGTTAAGAGTGAAGGTCTGCCACCTGGTAAGTGGTGTCGTGGACGTATCGTAGATAAACATCCGGGAAGCAAATTTATATGGCAGATGTGAACGGCAGAGTCGGGAAGGGACGCCCTAGAAGAAAGTTTATCGACCAAGTTGGCGATATTTTGAAAATGGGCCACATTACGATAACATGTACCGTAGTAACCGACGAGTATGTATGCGTAGATATATGGATGTAAAGGAGGCGAAAGAGGTATGTCGGAGGATCGTGCCAAATGGAAGTCCGTAGTCTCTGCCTACCCCTCTGGGTGACAGGCGTGAGTGTTTTACCTTATATATATATATATATATAAGGAAGTGACAATCACACTAGAGTGTATAGTGTTAAGAGTGGTCATAAAATTATGAAGTGTTGTGTACACAATTATTTGCTCTGCCAATAGACACTAAATCTTAATGTTAAACTAAATTTTAAAGCTTTCTTGTGAGCACAACAGTTTATCAATTTTAATTCTGTTTGTTATAACATTTTGATTATGTAGATTGTTGCTTGTTGATTATGATATTGTTTAGCTTGTATCACTCACTTTGAATTATTTTAGAAAGAACTAAATGTTCTTTGGTAGGTGGCATGTCAGTTCTTCTAAAATATATACGCAAACTTGTAATTTCATAGCCATAGCCTATAAAGACCCTGTGCTTTTCATTTACATGTGATACAAATAAAAGTGCATCTTAACTACATCAACATATGGTCGCAATTAAGCCGGACCGATCAGCGAAAAAGGGTTGAGTGCAGGTGTAGATAAAAAGTCCGGCCGACCGCGTACAATAAATCTCGGACGCTTCAACTCGTAAACAAATAACATTATACAAGTATGAGTAACTCGTATTGTGAATTTGCCAATTCTAGAAGCAACTAAACACATCTAACCCTCATTGGTGTCATTGGTGTCCTCCCTGTAACTTAACTTATTCCATTAGACATGTGTCAATCGTTCATTTCTTGTTACCGAATCATTTTAGTACATTTCGTCACGCGTTCGGATCGATCATTCGAATGGATCATTTCGGGCTCCAGTACCCTACACTAAAAACAATTCATTCAGATAATTCGGGATTCGGTCGGTTTTCTACTTATTCACAATTCACATCAATCACGAGTTAAAAAGGTTCCGTCAATTGTTTGTGATTGGTTGTACCGGAACATTCAAAAAGATTGAACCTCAACTTTTAAGTGTACCAGCTCAAACGAATGAATCATTCATGATTGACACATGTCTATACTCCATGACTCCAAAGTGTTTTCATACGGTACCCACGTAATGGAAATCTTGTAGTGCGCGCGATCTTTAGGTGCGGGTGGTGCGGAGAACGTTAAAGAGTTATGTAAACACTGATTTAAACGCAATTATAAGTATAGAATAGGTTGACAAGCGAACACACAGTTCACCGCATGTTAAGTGGATGTTGCAGCCCATAGAGATCTAGATTTTTCATAGAAAATAAATGTAGCGCGTTCGGTGTTGCAGGTTGTGGCGTCGCGCAACGAGAGCGCTGTTTTCCAGCCGGTGCGCGACGCAGTGCGCGAGCTGGCCGCCAAGCACCGCGGCGCGGACCTCGACCTGATGGAGACCGAGCTGGACGTGGAGAGGGAGGCGGCGGGTGAGGGCGAGGGGGAGAGCGAGGACGAGGTGCTGGCGAGTGGGCAGCGGCTGGCGCTGCGCGTGGCGCTGCCGCGGCTGCCGCCGGACCAGCTGGTGCTGCTGGGCGTGCCGCACATGGACTTCAACCAGGACTTCCTCAATAGGGTGGGTAAACAACACCAACGACACCTACCTTAACTATATACTTGGTACTATACCAATTAAGTTTACGATGCATGTGCTAGGAATGGTAGAAGACAGTACATTGAATAAAACTATTATTTACGGATTTTGTCGCGTTTAATTACTACTTTAATTTATTTTTATTATCACGGGGGGGACTTCTGTCACTTCCAAGTCTAAAAAGGATTCATTCTTTGTTCACTCTACTAGGCACTTCTAAACGCAAACTCACCAACTACACTTATATTTTTGTGGTAAACTTAATCGGAACAATCGTATCTTTACTTATAAATAATCGTATAGCTATGCATATGCATCTACATCTCTACAAATAAATAAAATTAAAGTGTCGGTTTGTAACAACTTTTTACTGAATGCATATGAAAGTATATACGGTACTTATAACAAAAACACGATTATCACCAACGATCACCAACATAATTTTTTATTTGGGCCCAAACCAATTCAATTGGATTAAGTTTGCAATGGTAAGGCGGTAGGCGAAGAATTGTAATGCCGTTACTTTTGGCAGCTCTCATCTATTAAATATTTAGTATATTGTGGGGTGATTCTGGCAACTTTCATTAATAATTCTTTTTTCTTTAAATAAGTCATGTCCATGGATTTGTCTTTGCTTTGCAGCCAATCTATTATTTGCTGCTTGTTCCAGCTGGTTGTTGGTATTTTTTCGACTCTTACCGAATGATAGGGAGCACTATCCATGACAACCACACTTCCTGGTTCTAGCTTAGGCATTATATTAATGAACCAATTAAGGAATCTTTCACCATCCATCTCTTCATGATAGTCTTTTGTAGAATTAGATTCAAATACTAATATTATTGATCCACTTTTATTCTTTCGAATAGGTGAGGTATTCATTTTCAAAATTTAATGTTGAACGAGTAACACGCAAAATACACAACCGTTTTGTTCGAAGGCCTGACTTCATCTGGTCACTGTGTACTCGACTTTCTAATTTCTTGAATTTTAATTGGCTGGGGGGCGTGGCCAGGCCGGCGGGTAACAATGACTCACTATTTTCTTAACGCGAACGGACTATAGCAGGATGTTGATGTAATAAGGAGTGACTTAGCCTTACTTTTATTTTAGAGAAAAAAAATTAAGGTTTTGCTCAAAAATACTAAACAGCAAGCTAGCTAATTCAAAATAAATTATAACTGGCTAGTGTCTCATACAAAAAAAAACTTTTTTGTAAAACTTTCTAGATAAAGTAATAATAATAAAGTAGTATTTATTTTCTCTCACATATTATCAGTACATTACAATAACCTTATACAGCTAAGTAGCAGCTATAACTACTAACTAAATAAGATCTAGGTGGGAGACTGGTGCCCAAACTAGGTTGCTCTGTGCTATGGGATCACCAGGCCCTTCTGTCAACAGAAGTGATATTGCTGTAACTCTTAATAAAGATTACAACTACTTGTAAACAAAAGTGCATCAAAATAGACTTGTTCAAACGTTGTTGGAGAAACTGTTTAAAAATTATTAAAATATATTAGGTGTACATAAAAAGAAAAACCTGTTTTAAATACTAATAAAGGTAGGTAGGACTATTAAGTGATATTAATATGTCGGTTGTGTGTATGTGTGTGGTGTGTAAGTGTGTAATATATATTTAAACAATACGTTCACATAGTTTTTCTGTCTGTTCGTAGTCTAATCATTTAAGCCATTTCGTTAAAGAATTTTTAACGGATATACAGGAATTTATAATGACATTTTTAACAAACATTTATAGTTCGTTACGATCACTGCTTGCCAGTAATGCTGCCTTCGGATGGCAACGCCGCCTCCGGCTGTTAGCAACGCCTCAAGCAACGTCGCACGTACGGCAGCCCAAGGCCAAGCCGAAGGTATATTGACGTCGATACAGGCGTCATCAAAGGCGCCGCCTGCCCTTTTCGGTTCGCAGCACGTGCAAATTAAATGTCGAGTATTATTAGCTATTTTTTATTTATTAAATGCAAGTTGTATTTAAAAAATGGATGCGGGTTAAAATAATTACAAATATTACAATAAAATATTTATGATTAAATACAGATATTAACACACATTTTACAACAGTAATTGAATAAAAATATTTAGGTAAAAAGGGTTCAATAAAAATATTAAAATACAAATTTATACATTAGAATTAGAGGTACTCGTCCGCGGATGGCGGTGAGTATCGCGCACGTAGCGTTCAAAATAATCACCTCCACATTCTATGCATAGGTGACACCTAAAAGTTAACTGTTCACCGACACGAGATAAAAGTTGAGTATTCATTTTGATTTGATCGAATGCCCAAATTATTTTTTCTTTCAACAAGTCGTGGGTTTCGAGTGTGCGACCAGTATACACTAATGTCTTTACATGCCCCCACATATGAAAATCCATTGGTGTGATATCTGGCGATCTGGGAGGCCATGCACAAGGCCCGCCACGTCCGATCCAGCGTCCAGGGTATTCTCTGTTTAAATAATCCTTAACTTGACGAGCATAATGCGCCGGTGCCCCGTCAAGTTGATAATAAATATTGCGTAGAGATACAAGTGGTATATCCTCTAACAATTCTGGCAGCGTGTCGGTGAGAAAATTGTGATAGCTTTCACCATTTAATCTTTCTATGAAAACAGGGCCCAGTAACGTTGTATTAATAAGGCCTGCCCACACATTGACACTAAACCGGTGTTGAAAGCTATTTGGTCTTGGTTCATGTGGATTTTCACAGCACCACAAGTGTTCATTGTGCGTATTAAATAAACCCTATTCTGCCAAATGTTGCTTCATCAGTCCATAAAATGTTAGCTCGTTCAGCAGCTGGTAACCAATTACAAAATGTAACTCGCGCAGGTTTGTCAGCTTCGCTGAGTTCATGAACACGGTGCAGGTGAAAGAGTACTTCCCTTCATTGTGTATGACACTCCATGCGTAATATTGTGACACATTGAACTGTCGGGCTGCTTCATAAGTGCTCGCTGCTGGATTTTCTTCAAAAAACTGCAGTATGCCTTCCTGCTCACGTACTGTGCGCCGCGGTGGACGACCACGATCGATAGATACAGGCTGGAATTGCCCGTAATCTCGTAATCGCTGTGTAGCACCTAGCATCGTAGCGTAGCTCGGTGCACGTGAGTTGGAAAATCGCCTTGAATATTCACGGCAGGCTTCACTAACATTATCATTGCAAATTGCTAAAATTCGCACCATTTCGGTATACTCAACATTTGATTATCGGTAAGCCATCGTAACAAGGTAACGTTCACAACGAAAAGACAAGCGTCGCGGGCGCATCAAAGGCGACTGACGACACAGGTTACTAATTAGGTCAAGTTTAAATGAGTATCGTCGCCTCCTACACCCCTCCACCCCTCCCTCGCCACGCGCTTTTTATTGCTAACTATGGACTATTACCGTTTAGAAGCTCCAATTAAAATATTTTTATTTTTGTATGAAAATAAAAATTGAAGAAATATATTTTTTTTTCTTACAGATGTTATGGTGTAAATAATATATTCCCCAAAGGTCTTCAGTAAATTAAAAATGACCCTGTATATTTAATAATTTGTTTGCTAGATAATATAGGACTGGACCCGATCGAGCGAATAATAAATACATGATGCGGAAGTCTTTTGCTTTATAAAGGATTGGATTTATTATATTCCGTTTTTGGGTAATTTAATGATATTGTCGCAAGAATATAGAGCTCACGTACGGTGAGCAAGTCACACAATTTGTAGAGTTCGTTTGTTGAAAATAATCTACGTTTTTTATAAGATATTTTAAATCTTATAAAAACGTAGTCTTTGTGCACGTTCTAACCTAATCATATGGGTTCTTGCTGCACCCCCCCCCTCTCCCGCAAGACGTTATGCTATAGTTAATAATAGACTGACATAAGGCGGTATAAACGAATTTTATAATACTGGCATCAGCAAGATGACGAAGCTGCTTAAAAATATAAGTTAGTTTACGGACTCTGGATGAAATGTGGTTTATATGCTCTTCGAAGGAGAGTCTCTGGTCTATTATAACACCTACAAGTATTTTGTGTTTGTTGCCTTTTCAAGAGAGCGACACGTACAGGAGCTAAGAGGTGGTATGTAGCAATCATGAACATATAAGTTTAAGTTCTCTTGGCCTTTTAATGCTGGTGTGCTGATACAAAAGGGAATATATTTAGTTTTAGTTGCGTTTAAAGATAGAAAATGTGTATATAGCCATTGCTGTACTGTATTTAGGCCAGTTTGTGCAACAGAATAAACTTCTTTTCAAGATTGACCGTAAAATATAAGTGCGGTGTCATCAGCATAGCACATAACCTTGCAATTAAGGATATTAATTTGACAGAGGTGACAAAAAGAGGGTAGGGCCCAGAATATTGCCTTGAGGAATTCCACGTATAATACTAGGTACAATCGTCACTCAAAATATCGTCAACTTTGTTGCACTGAGTGCGATTGTGTATGTAGTTGCTAAGCAATTGGAGTTGGGTACCTCTGATGCCTATAATTTCTCTACAATTGCTAAAATTTCGGGGAAAGAGACTGTATCATACGCTTTCACAAGATACAAAAATATAGTTAAATATTATTTAACTATATTTTTGTATCTTATAGTAAAAATTTTACATGCTTATATATATATATTATAATGAATGTATCGGACTAATGACCGATTGCAATCGCAATCGCGTGTGCAGGTGCGCATGAACACGATCGCGGGCGAGCAGTGGTTCCTGCCGGTGGCGTTCGCACGCTACGCGCAGTTCCTGCACCCGCGCTTCGTGGACGCGGCCGGCGCGCGCGCGCAGCAGGGCACCGGCCGCTTCAACGCGCGCCGCCGCCACGTCGTCGCTTTCTACCGCGCGGACTACGACGCCGGTAAGTGCAGCTGCCACACGTGGCCACGCGCTGCCTCACGCAACACGCCCCCGCGCAGTTCCTGCACCTGCGCTTCGTGGACGCGGCCGGCGCGCGCTCGCAGCAGGGCACCGGCCGCTTCAACGCGCGCCGCCGCCACGTCGTCGCTTTCTACCGCGCGGACTACGACGCCGGTAAGTGCAGCTGCCACACGTGGCCACGCGCTGCCACACGCAACACGCCCCCGCGCAGTTCCTGCACCCGCGCTTCGTGGACGCGGCCGGCGCGCGCTCGCAGCAGGGCACCGGCCGCTTCAACGCGCGCCGCCGCCACGTCGTCGCTTTCTACCGCGCGGACTACGACGCCGGTAAGTGCAGCTGCCACACGTGGCCACGCGCTGCCACACGCAACACGCCCCCGCGCAGTTCCTGCACCCGCGCTTCGTGGACACGGCCGGCGCGCGCTCGCAGCAGGGCACCGGCCGCTTCAACGCGCGCCGCCGCCACGTCGTCGCTTTCTACCGCGCGGATTACGAAGCCGGTAAGTGCAGCTGCCACACGTGGCCACGCGCTGCCACATGCAACACGCCCCCGCGCAGTTCCTGCACCCGCGCTTCATGGACGCGGCCGGCGCGCGCCCGCAGCAGGGCACCGGCCGCTTCAACGCGCGCCGCCGCCACGTCGTCGCTTTCTACCGCGCGGACTACGACGCCGGTAAGTGCAGCTGCCACACGTGGCCACGCGCTGCCACACGCAACACGCCCCCGCGCAGTTCCTGCACCCGCGCTTCGTGGACGCGGCCGGCGCGCGCCCGCAGCATGGCACCGGCCGCTTAAACGCGCGCCGCCGCCACGTCGTCGCCTTCTACCGCGCGGACTACGATGCCGGTAAGTGCAGCTGCCACGTGCTGCCACACGCAACACGTGGCCGCGCAGTTCCTGCATCCCCGCTTCGTGGACGCGTTCGGCGTGCGGACCACGACGCTGGTAATTGCAGCTGCCACACGCGGCCACGCGCTGCCACACGCGATTGCCGTACCCGCAGCAACGATTACGTAACATTTTTTTATCTGTGATGGTTGTAATCGCGCAATATACGTGTTCGCATCTCTAGTTTTCTGCCTAAAAACTATTCTGCCCAGCCTCATGCGACTAAATTCAGCCCGGCTAAGTTAGAATGCGCGAGGTTTAAGTAAGTATTGAGCAAAACGAATATGGCAAAATCACGTAACACATCTCAATAAAATCACACAGCAAATCAGTAAATTAATGGTATGTGAGTATGCAATAGAGTTTTATAATTTATTCATTATTATTTATACCTTCATTAAGAGATAAAAAAGAGGTTTGAGAGAGAGAAAGAGAATCGAGAGTTACAAGGCTTTCAACTCAATTATTATTGAACACAATGTGACGGTGGCTCGTGGTGGTGGCAGCGCTTGCGCTGTGGCGCAAGACGCGTAGCGCGGAGCCGGAGGACGCTGCGGCCGTGCTGGCGCGCGGGCCGCTGCGCGTGCTGCGCGCGCCCGAGCCTGCGCTGCTGCTGGCGCCGCGCGCGCCGCCTTGCGCTGCTGCCGGCAGTGCTGCTGCACCTGCAGCAGCACCCGCAGTCTGCCTGCAGCACGTGCGCGACGCTGGTCTACAGCAGCTGGACCTAGGCGCGCGCCACGCGCTCGCCAAGCTGCTCCTCGAGACGCAGGCGCAGCTGTACTGACACCACACACATATATATACATACGCATTCCATACAGATGACAAATGCACATTCAAACTTGCGGGTGGACCAAAATAGGACGGCGACAATTCTAGTATTATCACGCTAAAAAAATATCATTTGCACTATAATTTTTAATATTAGCCCGATACTCTGGAATTAATTGACTAACCAATGTAACTGTTTTTATTAACAAAAAATACACTTTCATATCTCATACTAACATCAAGCAAATTTGTAATCACATTTAAAATTATTTATAACACAAAAATAATAAAAGTGCCTGTTTCCAATGCCTTCGAACACGTTAATTTTTGATTTCTTATATTTACCAGAATACTATACAAGGATAAAACGATTTTCACAGATTTTATCGCTTTTAATTTTAACTTTTATAATTCCCTACAATTCGGATACTTTTATTTATTTTATTTTATTTAATATAATATTGTTTTATAAAAATAATAAAATACCACATTAATTTAAAAAACCAAAAATCAAATGCTGTCTTGCTTTTACGAAATCAACACAATTCATTTCGTCAGTACTTGAACTGCAACTATTAAGTGCTTTGACGTAACTTAAAATGAATTTACTTTAAAAATACAAAACAAAGGCATAAGTGAAACTTATTTAATACATTCATAATATAATACAAGTTCTTAAAATGATATAATATTAATCGTCTACCACTTAATAAAACCTCAATCAAAATAAAAACCACAATGCCTTACAATAACAACAGGACTATCTATTCACTAACTTCACTCAGTGGATTTCTGTATTTAATTTAAGTTTTTCCATTTTCCACACATATGTAATTATAATTAATTTGACAGTTATGACATCACAATATGCCAACTGACAACAGGGATAAACCTTTTAGTGATTGTAAACTTATGTTACAACCGAATACACAATAGAGAAAAATAAAATGTAAACAAATAAAATTTTCAATACAGTCTGTTGTTTTATTTTTTACATCAAAATGTTCAATATACTCAATGTCTCTCCTGAATGGGCTAGTATAAAGCTCAAAAAACTGAGAAAGGGAAATGGAAGTGAAGATTCAAGAAGAACGTAGGGTTTTCTATTTGGAAAGATACCAAACAAGTGAATGTTGTAAGCACAGCATTCCATCCCAGGAAAAAAGATATTGCAACGGGATCCAAAAAGATGGCTCAAAAAAGTCTATCAAATTCCATTTACTCATACTAATATATTCGAAACGACTGGGTGGAGTCGGTCGTTTCGACCAAAAACTAACAATATACCGTAGGTAGAAGTCGCAGATAATGGAGTCAATTTTTTCGAGGGTGCTGGTGGATAATCAAACCTCTAAAGGTTTTAATAAAAGATCATTCCAAACATATGACAAAAAAAAGAACGGAGTGAAAGAGGGTGATGAGAGACAGAATCAAATATGGGGTACCAGAAGAAATCAGATTTCAAAAATTAGTAGACCACTAGTCTGTAAAAGTAAAACTGTTATAAAAGGTGACACTATTCAGCACTAATGTAAATAAGAGGTCTAAAATAGTGTTATGAGCTTAGGGTTCACCACTCGACACTAGATGGCGATAGTGGGAATATTTTAGAAAGATCTTGGCGCTTCTATTTCTGCTACTTGATACTAGATGGCGCTTATTATCACTCGCCATAAGGCATTAATTATAGCGCGCAACAATAGAATGTGAGCGGTGTAAAGTGGCACTATATTTCACCAACTGCCACAAGAAAATCATTGAAAGTTACCAGAGCCCCTGGTGCTAGCAGGGATATTGCCACGATGTTTTTTCTTACACTAAACATTTTTTTATTGAACGAAAGAAGTACCCACAATAGATCTATAAAAAGAGTTATTTTTCTTACACAAATAAGATATATATATAACCTGTTAAAGTATTAATATTCCCATAGAAAATTCGACTGCGAAGTTTCACTGATAACATGGTTAATAACATCATGTTTACTTTTTTCACTGCTATTCTTTTTTTATACGTATAGTTAGAGCCACTTTGCAGCTATATTATGGTTGTAGCACGAAAGAATCGGCTCAACCGGGGAAGGACTACGCTCTCACAGAATACCAGCGTAAAATAGCATGTTTGACTAAATAATGTATATTTTTATTGCGCTCATATTCCTTGCTTTTTGCATTTATTTAGTGTCCAATAGATCGTTGAACAGAACAGAACATACGCATTGAGCTTTATTTTACTATACCTAACCAAGTGTATACAAGACGACCTTATTAAAATCATCATATGGTCCAAATTCGAGCCGGATCCAGCGACGTTTACCTGCTCCGTTAGCGGCTGACCGAGAACAAAAGATAAGAAAAAAGGGTCGACTTGTTAACAAGTTATATGAGTTTGAGTTTAAAACTGATTCATTTCATTTTACTTTGTTGTGATTAAAGATTTTATATCTACTTTGTATAAATAATGGCTACGGAAGTGGAAAAAGCATTGATTAAAGTGGAAAACAGCACACACTATGAAGAATACACGTTAACCTGAAAAAGTGCCCAAAAGTAAGATTAACACGAAATTACGTCGAATCACGCCTTAAATGTTTAGAAGATTATTGGTGCGAATATAAAAAGCTTACGACCAAATTATATGCAACATATCAAGGGAAAAAGAGAGCAAATACCTAGTTTTATGACCATGAAAAATATACATTACTTTGAAAACTGAGCTTAAAGATTTGTTAGTATCCCAACAAGTTAGTGACAGTGCTCCGTTACTAATATCAAGTTAATCTCAATCTCAACAAACTCCTGTAGTGTTACCCAAAATACAGTTACCAACCAATAGTGGGCATTATGAAGAGTGGTTATCGTTTCATGACTTGTTTAATACACTTGTTCACACCAACGAAACGCTTAATAATGTACAAAAATTGCATTATTTGAAAACAAGTCTTACTGGTGAAGCTGCGTCTATATTAAAACATGTACAAGTAACAGATTCGAACTATGAACAAGCATGGGACATATTAAAAAGACGATATGGTAATAAACGAATAACTATCAACGCTGTCATGAAAAAACTTTTTTCACAAAAGAAGATGACCGTAAATTCTTCAAATCATATTAAAAGAATGCTAGATACTACGTTCGAATGTTTGCATCAGCTTAAAAATATGAAGGTAAATATTGAAAACTGGGATCCTGTACGGTGCAACCGCACATATCGCCCGATCAGCATTTTCGCCTCATACACTTATTTTTATTGTTCATCGAATCAGTTCACATAGCATCGCCACACAGCGCGTTCGTGTACTCATCATTAGCTATTAGCAGTTTTTAAATATATTTTCCCTTTTCTATCAAGCAGCATATTTTATTTATATCATCAGCAGCAGCATTTTAAGGTGTAACGTACAGATCCTATGATAATATTTGTGACTGTGCAGAAACTAGACTCTGAGACGCATAAAGACTGGGAAGAACACGTTAGCAATAATTGCCAAGATCCTGATAGTCTTCTATCACTCAATATTTTTCGTAAATTTTTAGAAAACCGTTTTTGCACGTTGGAGCTCACAGAACCGACAAAACATAGATTGAATAACGTCATCCAACGAGAGAAGTCGTATCACATTACAACGAACGTTGAAAATCATACACTTAGCCATTGTAAAGTGTTCGGAAAACATTCACCACTACAACGAAGTGAATTCATTAAAACTAATAACTTGTGCTTCAATTGCCTTTCACCTGGACACTCTGTAAGGCAATGTCGTATTCCAACATGCTGTCGGTTATGCAAAAGGTGCCATCATTCCCTTCTTCACGAAAACAAGGAAAGCAACGTAAGTGAAAGCACAAAAGGCAATTCTGATAAAGTACTTACAAAACAACCTGAAGTGGCTTTACATACAAACGTGGAGAAGAATGAAAGAGAGAAAGAAAGCATTACAGTGGTTGCTCACAGTTCTAACAAAGAAAGTACAGCATTACTTGCAACAGCAATTGTAAGGGTAAGTAGTGAAGATAATTATATGACCACGCTGCGAGCATTAATTGACCAAGGCTCCCAAGCTAGCTTCATAAGTGAACGTGCTGCACTACTACTCTTGGCTAGGAGATATCCAATTAGGTGTGCGGTCATTGGTGTTAGATCAACCAGAGAAGATTTAAACAAGTAGTTCAGATCAACGTACAGTCGAGATGCGAAGCTTACAACCTAGAAGTCAGAACTTATGTTATGTCAAAACAACTTACAACTAAAATACCTTCCCATATAATCAAAAAGGGCAATTGGCTTCACTTAGATGGGTTAGACCTGGCTGACCCAAACTACTACAAACCAGGTTCTATTGACCTGCTCCTGGGTGTTGACGTATACGCACGTATAGTGGAAAATTAATTAATCAAGGGTCCACCAGGGTCTCCATGCGCTCATAAAACAAACCTTGGCTGGAATTTATAAGGGAATATAGATGATGGACCATAACAAGCAGAGTCAGTACTGGTTATGCATCATCAGATCATAGCAGAAGATTTCTTAAAGGCAATCTGGGAAATACATCAAGATTCAAAAAGAAAGCACACTAAAGAAGAAAAACGATGTGAAAAATTCTATGAAGAGAATTATAGACGAAACAGCGAGGGAAGATACATTGTGAAACTTCCATTTCGTTCCAATGACATTGTTACACCGGATGGAAATACGAGAGAAGAAGGGCTTGATTCAGCAAGAAAAAAGACTATATAAAACACCGGATTTAAAAGAAGAGTACGACAAGGTATTAGAAGAATACTTAGCAATGGGACATATGGAAGAAGTTCCGAAAGATGAAGTAAACAATCTTTCTGTTTATTTACCACATCATGCTGTTATTCGAAGAAATAAGGAGACAACTAAAATCAGAGTTGTAGTTGACGCTTCGTGCAAAGCTAATAATGGCGTATCTTTGAATGATGAACTCATGACTGGACCGGTACTTCAAGAAGATATGGGAAGCATAATAATGCGATGGCGGATGCATAAGGTTTGCTTTGCAAGTGACATAATGAAAATGTACAGAATGATTTTCTTGGATAAGAAGGATACACACTACCACAGAATACTCTGGCGTCGTAACACCTCAGGCAGAACTGGTGACCAGCTAGCGGATGTTAAAGATTACAGATTGAAAACTGTCACATTTGGTACAGCATGTGCACCTTACTTGGCTGTCAAAACTTTAATGAAACTTGCAGACGATGAGGGTGAAGAATATTCTGAAGCTGCTAGAATTATTCGTGAAGACTTTTACGTCGATGACTTGACTTCAGGCTGTGACACAACAGAACAAGCAACTCGTATCAGCAAACAAATCATGACAAATCTTGAATGAGGTGGATTCGAACTTCAGAAATGGGCCTCAAATGATTCTGAGTTTTTAAAATCGATAGAACCAGACCGAATCACCACAAAGGCTAGTCTTGATTTGAAACTAGATGGCACCATTAAAGCCCTTGGCCTAACATGGAATCTTGGAGAAGATAATTTTCGTTACCAACTGCAACTGGAACCTATATCAACCGATATTACAAAAAGAACCATACTGTCAGATTTACAAAGACTCTTTGATCCACTTGGATGGATAGCACCAGTAATTGTTAGATCAAAGATACTTGTGCAAAGATTGTGGCTAGAAGGAGTTGGTTGGGACCAAGACATAAATAAAGAACTGAAAAGAGAATGGAAAATCATAAAAGAAGATTTAAAAAACGTCAATAAAATAAGAGTTCAACGTTGGGTGAACATTTTAAGCAATTAAAAGGATCGAGTTACATTACATGGATTCTGCGATGCTTCTGAGAGAGCATACGCAGCTGTAGTATATTGCCAAGTACTGGCGAAAGATGGTGATATAAAAACACACATTATCGCCGCGAGGACGAGAGTGGCTCCTGTTAAGACCATTTCTTTACCGCGACTTGAATAAGTGGAGCAACCCTGCTAGCCAAATTATTATATAAAGTAAGCAACGCTATGAGAATTCCATCACAAAATGTGTTTGCATGTACGGACTCTACAATTGCATTATCATGGCTTTTTGGGGAACCAAATCGGTGGAAGCTATTTGTTGCAAAACGAGTAGTGGAAATACTGGAGCAAACAAGCGTCTCCCAGTGGTATCATGTGAAGTCGTCAGACAACCCAGCTGATATAGCGTCAAGAGGTGCTTTAACATCAGAGCTACAGCAGAAAACGTTACGGTGAAAGAACCAACTTGGCTCGGCAAAAAACACATTGAGTATACTAGCCTACCTACTACCTTCAATACCATCTACACAAATGAGAAACAGGCCATACAGTCCTATGTTAATGTTACGGATTGTGAAAGAAAAAATAATTAAATTTGAAGAATATGATACACTTAAGGAGCTGTTAAGAGTAATAGTAATATGTAAAAGATTTCTAAATATGAAAGTGATCAAAAGATTCATAACTATGAATTGACTGTGGAAGAAATGCACAATGCTTTAAATATTTGTATAAGACAAGCACAACAAGAAGAATTTTCAGACGAGATAAGAAGATTAAAGGACCACAAGCCTGTGAAGACCATGAGCATATTGAAGACGCTAAGCCCATACATTGATGAACGAAATATTCTCAGGGTGGGCGGCAGATTAAGAAATGCACACGTCGATGAAGACATAAAAGACCCTATAATCATAGGTAAGAGAAACACCTTCGTAACACTGGTTCTTGCTGACGCACATCAGAAAACAATGCATGGTGGAATTATACTTATGGTTGCATACCTCATGAGTAAATTACTGATGGGTAACTCATCATTTTTATATGAGGTTGAGGGAGTACCTCATTTTACCTCGCGAGGTCCTCACGAGGGACCCCTCATTTGAGGCGAGGTATCGCACGTCAGCGTATTCAATTCACCTCACGAGCCGAGCCCGAGCTCGAACCTAACTCAGCCGATTGTCCGAGGCAGCGGCAAGCGGCCGGCGGACGGGCGCGTCGACTCACGAGTACTCACGATTTCGATTTTTACGTCTCCCTCACACACGTAATTTTCTTTCGCTCATAAATTTTAGACCGCCAAAATAAACGAATTAATGACACTTGAATAACAATCTAATGCTTATGTTTTTTAGAGTTCATAGTTAACGTTTAGAGATTCATATTAATAGCAGAAATAAAAATATTTTCTCTATTAATTCGTTTTGAGTACCTAATAATGTTACTTTACCTATGTTGACCTTGGAGGTGCACGTGTGGTGAAGTAATTGTTGATATTGTTGTGATTGTGACAAATACGTAGACTTTTGTGTTAGCGAAAAATTGGATTGTTTTGCTTGTGTTCGTACTTATTTGCTTGTTTTGGTTTTGGTGGTGGTGTGGTAGAGATAGATTGCTGCTGGTGTGGGTTTTACCTTTACCATTCCTACATATTTGGCAGGGTTATGGCTCCAACGGTAAAAAAAATCGAAAACCTGGGAGTTTTTCAAGGATTTTGGAGAATATAAGGCCAAATGTACAATTTGTATGAAAATTTTGTCGCACAGGGGTGCAGGCCCTTATAATTTAACAAGACATTTAAAATCAGCTCATCTCCTTGTCCTAGCTGGGATTCAGGAAAATCGTACTAATACTAATGATAATAATCGTAATGATACTAGTGTTGCTCAACCTCTTTCACCTGTGATTCCATCTACGTCTCAAGGTGAGTCGTCTTCCGCCTGTCCCGATGGTTCCACTCAATTTGTACGAGCTACTCCCGTTCCGAATCGTCGTCCTCTAGATTTTAACCAAAATAATAATATCAATCAATATTTTGCAAAACCGCTGTCATTAAAGAAAACTGAAACCATTAATAAGTTGCTACTTCAAATGATTGTCAAAAATTATTTGCCTTTCACAATCGTCGAAAGCGATTCATTTAGAGCATTTATAAAAGAATTGTGTCCTTCGTATGTTGCTCCCTCAAGAAAGACGCTATCAAAAGCTTTATTACTAAAATATTACAACATCGTAAGAGAAGATGTGACAAAATTACTAGAACAAGCGGAATATGTTGCCTTAACTACGGATGCCTGGACTTCTGCTTCTCATCATCAGTATGTTGCTGTAACAGCACATTTTGTTGAAAACGGCAAAATTATGGCGGTAATGTTAGAATGCATTCCAGACGCACAACGCCATACCGCACAGAACTTAGCTGATTTAATCAAAAAAATTTGTACCGAATGGAATGTTATTGAAAAAGTAGTGTCAGTTACTGCTGACATTGCTAATAACATCCAAGCTGCCATTTCTTTATTAAAATGGAAGCAAGTACCGTGTTTTGCTCACACATTAAATTTAATTGTTCAAGCAGGTTTAACAGAACTTAAGGCAATTCAAATTAAAGTTAAAAGCATTGTGGAACTTTTCCAAAGAAGTATTTTGGCTAGTGAGCGCTTAACAGCCATGCAAAAGCAGCTAGGGGAAAAACAGCTAAAAGTGAAACAAGACGTCATAACACGGTGGAACTCTACGTTCGATATGTTCGAGAGGATTTTAGAGATAAAAAGAAGTGTGATTTCCACCATTGCAACCGATTATCCCAACACGCCAAATTTGACCCCCGACGACATAGAAATTTTGTCAAAATGTTGTGATTTGTTACGACACTTTAAATCAGTAACTGAAATTATGAGTGCAGAAAAGCATGTAACTGTATCGCAAATAATAGTTTTAGCGAATTTGCTCAAAAAAAAGTGCGAGGCGTTCACCACTCAAGACATTCCCCAAACAGTAATTGAAACGGCGAAGCGGTTCGTTACTGACATATGAGTACGGTTTAGAAATGTAGAGGATAACAAATTATTTGCCGTAAGTACGCTTCTAGACCCACGATTTAAGGCATATGGTTTTCCTGATGACAAAAAAGTAGTGTTGATAATGCAAAAAAATATTTATCTAATATAGCGGCTAAATCTATTGCATCGATTAATGAAACTGAATCAGAAATTAGTGAAAATATTTCACAAAGCGATACAAACATACAAAAACCTTCTATATGGGATGAATTCGATCTAAAAGTTGTAGATGCAGTTAAAAAGCAAAACCCGACCGCAGCTGCAATCATGGAAGTAGATAAATATTTCGATGAGCCTCTTATTAGCAGGAAATCCCACGACCCTATATTATGGTGGTACACGAAAAGGCACACATACCCACGCCTATATGATGTAGTCAAAAAACACTTTTGTACTCCAGCTACTTCAACTCCTTCCGAAAGAGTTTTTTCGAAAGCAGGACATGTCGTTACTGACAGGCGCAACCGATTGGATGGTAAAAAAGTGCGCCTGATTTTATTTTTACACGCAAATATGTGATTGTTTATTCCAAACGATTGTTTTTGTACTTTTTATCCTTTGATCTCAATTAATACACTCAGTTTTTTTTTTAAATATGCTTCGTGTGTTTTATTTACCCTGCAATTCATTTCACACAATTTTTTGTATCTCTTCTTAATTTAAATAATATCTTACCAAACATCAGTATCACACACATCATTCATCAAACATCATTATTTCATTAAGTACATAACAGTTTTTAGTACATAACAAGTACATAACAATTTTTTAGTGATTGAGTAGGAAATAGGAAATTGAAACAAATAAATAATAAAATATGATTCAATTTATATTTAAGTTAACCCTTAATTACTCGCGTGGGGTATATTTAACCCCACGGCGTATTTGAAGCGTCGTATCTCCGCCATTTTTAAAGTTACCTCCATGCCGTTCTTAGTAGCTGCCTAAATACCTCCCCCCGCCGCGAATCAGTCACGAGCGCCGCTCCGTGTCGTGTGGTTGTGTCAGGAGATCGTGTCTGGGGTATATATTGCCCCACGCGAGTATTCGTGCAACTTTTTTGGACGAGTGAGTATTTTTATTTTTTAATGTGCAGTACAGATACTAAATGGTTAGGTTTTTTTACTTATCTTTGTTTTCTGTTCTTTTTTAGGTTATAACACCTAAAATGGCAAGTAAGCGTCTTTCTAACTACCAGATTCTTGAGCGTATATTAGAAGACGACGAAGAAAGCATCATAGATAGTCCCGATGAAGATGAGGGAGACGATGAAGTGATCCAGAGTGACCACAACTCAGAATCTGAAGAAAGTGCCCATGAAACCGAGTTAGAATGGAGTGATGACGATAATGAACCGCTGAGTAGACACGCAAGTAAAGATTCTGATAGCTTTTATTTATCAAAAAAGAAATGCACAAAGTGGGCAAAAGAGCCGCCGCGTACTAGCGTTCGAGTTCGTAGACACAATATTATGAGGGAAACACCAGGACCTAAGGGAGCAGCCAAGGAGATACATACAATGTCAGAAGCATTCTTTTGTATGTTTTCAATGGATACTGTCAATTTAGTACTGCAACAGACCAACGATTACATAAAATCGATACAAGGAAAATTACAACGCGAACGTGATTGCAAATTCCTAGAATACGAAGAACTTTTGGCTTACCTAGGTTTGCTTTACATGTCTGGTGTGCTGCGTTCATCTCACTTGAACTTCAAAGATCTGTGGGCTACCGATGGAACAGGCATCGAGTTTTTTCAAAACACAATGTCATTCAACAGATTTCTTTTTATATCAAGATGTGTTCGTTTTGATGACAAAAATACTAGATCTGAAAGGCAAAAGACAGACAAACTAGCAGCAGTCAGAGAGTTCACTGATTTGATGAATAATAATTTCATCAATAATTACTCTGCATCTGAAAATGTCACCCTAGATGAACAATTACCTGCCTTTCGAGGAAGATTTTCTGGTGTTGTTTATATGCCCAACAAACCCACGAAGTACGGCATAAAGCATTATGCACTCGTAGACTCGGCAACATTTTATTTACTGAAATTTGAAATTTATGCTGGTGTACAACCTGAGGGTCCATATCGAATGCCTAATGATACAGTAAGTTTGGTAAAGCGCATGACAGAACCCATCTGGGGTACTGGTCGAAACGTTACGATGGACAACTGGTTCACTAGCGTCCCTCTTACAAATACGCTTCTAAAAGATCACCAGCTTACTATGGTTGGAACTATTCGCAAGAATAAGCCGGAAATTCCAACTTGCTTCCAGCCCAAACGAACACGAGCTGAGCATTCCAGTCTGTTTGGTTTCCAAGAAGACGTAACACTTTGCTCTTACGTTCCAAAAAAATCTAAAGCTGTACTGCTGATTTCGTCAATGCATCATGACAATAAAATAGTTGAAAGTGAAAAGAAGAAACCGGAAATTATTTTGTACTACAATCGCACGAAAGGTGGCGTAGATACCAACGACCAAATGTGTGCTAACTATAACGTCGGCAGACGTACAAAGAGATGGCCTATGGTTATATTTTATCACCTTCTCAACGTTGCTGGTATCAATGCATATGTCATTTTTAAAAATAAAATTGACCACGGAATATCAAGAAGGGAGTTTTTGAAGCATCTTGCAGTTGATTTGGTAAAGGCTCGCCAACAAACTCGAGCAACTATACCACAACTGCCTAGGGCCGTACAAAAACGGTTAAAAAGAAATGCTCAAGTTCAGGATCCTAGCCCCACTTCCAGAGGTGGTCCATCGACAACTTATAAAAGGTGACATATCTGTCCAAGGTTGAAGGATAAAAAAATAAGATTTATGTGTGCCAAATGCCACCAGCAAGTTTGTCACGACCATTCCACTATGATATGTGATAAATGTATTGATTAAAAAGTTCCTAAATTTAAAGTTTCATATCTTTAAAAGTTTTTAAGGATACTATTACAATTTAGAACAATGTTGCCTCTTTCAAATTTTTATAATAAAAAAAAGTATGTCATTAAAAATATGTTTTATTGTACCTTTACAATTGGGGTTATATATTCCCCACGCGAGCGTAAGTGTAACTATATGGACGCGAGTAATTAAGGGTTAATTGTAAATATTCATTAAATGATAATTTTATAATACTGTATTGTGAATGTAATAATAATATTAATAATTGCCTATATTTGCAGTGCACTTGCACATTTTTTGAACTTTTTTGAACATTTTTTTTAAATATAAGACCAAATGTACAACAAGAATAGCATACAAATAAAATTGAATTGAATTGAATTGAAAACAATCATAATGTTTACTGTTTTCAAAATTTCGATTCCTCACCTCACTCATTCTCTAATTTATTCTGTACTGTAAATATGGATTTCTAAGTCGGTTCATTCGCTCACTAAGCTCACTCAATGACTCACTCGCGATCATAGCTCGCGATGCTCGCGAGTCGCGAGTACTCACGTGACTCACGTCAATAATGCCTATGTCAATTTTTAAGTGAGGACGCGTGAACGAGTGAGGTGGTTCAATGTTGAAAATCGAGTAACTCTTTCAATTTGCGATCACGAGTACCTCAAACGAGGCACCTCATGAGTGAGGGGCACATCTCTAGAGTAAATACTGGATCATTGGCTGCAAGAGTTTGGTGAAAAAGTACGTACAAAGATGTCTTGCTTGTGCACGGCAACGAGCCACTTTCAGACAACAAGTGATGAAGACTTTGCTGGTCTAGTTTACCTGCTAAATTCTAAAGGAAGAGGAGCTAAAAGCAGGAAGGCTTATATTTGCATATTTATTTGCATGGCAGTAAAGGGGATACATTTAGAGATGGTGAGCGATTTAACATCTGATGCATTTATAGCAGCATTCAAACGGGAAATTAGGAAATATATTTCAATTCGAATAAGGAATGTTAAAATGTGGAGAGATAAGGCAGGACTCAGCCGGAAATGCCTGGACACATAGCAGATCAATTAGCAGGTGATGGCACGCAATGGCATTTTACACCACCATACACACCACACTTTGGAGGACTCTGGGAGGCTGGTGTCAAATCAGTCAAACAGCACTTACGAAAGTCACTGAAGTCAAACTTAACATTCGAAGAATTCATGATAGTGTTTACACAAATCGATGACATTCAAGTACTCACTCCTGGATATTTATTAATTGGAGAAGCACCAATCACGGTACCAGACCGCGATTATACAATTGAGAACTACAGTCTGTTATCCAGATGGCAACAACACACTCAAAGACTGGTTCCAGCGTTTTGGAAACGCTGGCAAACTGAATATTTGTCCCGACTTAATCAGCGACCTAAGTGGTTGAAGAGAACACCTGAGTTTGAAGCTGGTGATGTAGTATTGCTAAAAGATGAAAATGTACCGCCTAGCAAGTGGGCTCTGGCACGGATAATTGAAAAACATCCTGGACAAGACAATATAACACGGGTGTATACCGTCCGTTATAATGGTGAATTAACTCGGAGATCCATCTCAAATTTGTGTGCATTACCGATTTCTAATAAAGCTTAATATTTTAAATTAAATTTATTAACTTTACAAATTTGTATTCTTTGCATTATATTCAGTAAAGTATCAAATTAGTATTAGTGTGAAGTTTTTTCTTTGTTTGTTCTAAGTTTTATAGCTAGTACCTAATAGCTATTTATCAACTTACGTTATTTAAATTGTAAAGTTTTAAAGTTTATTTTAAAGTGAAGCATTGAATAACTTCAAGTACAAACATTGTTAGTTTATTGTTTCAGTTACTAGTTAAGTTCAAATGTTTTATTAATTTGTTTATTGCGAAAAGGTCTTAAGTCCCTTTTGGTGGGCGGTATGTTTGACTAAATAATGTATTTGTTTATTGCGCTCATATTCCTTGTATGCATTTAGTGTCCAATAGATCGTTGAACAGGACATACGTGTTGAGTTTTTTTTACTATACCCAACCAAGTG